AAAATAAAGTTTTGAAACGTCAATATTTTCAGAAAAATGAACTCTACAAAATTGCTATGATCAATTTTTTTGAAAAGTAGCTAAATAAAAAAATATATTTTTTAACTTTTTTAYCAAAACATTAAAATATGAAATAATTGTAGTTCTTATCCTTGAGTCTTATTACAAAACCAGGATTTTGATATCACCATTATTTTGGGAAATATCGCAATGGGTAAATCCACACAGGACACCTGTATAGAGTTGGTAATTTTAACGGGCGTCGGGCAACGAAGTGCACAGGAATCAGCTAGTGTAATAATATAATTTTTGTCTACTATTTACATATTTATTAAAAATTTTCAATATTATGGMATCATACGAGATGTCTGTGAAGTTATTATGTTTTCACTAGTTATGCATTTTGAATAACTAACATATAATAAAAACTAAAATAACAAAATCAACTTACTCTTCATTAACTTGGACATCATGAGTTTTGAAGTAAGCGTTACTATCTTCATCATCAAAATCATCTAACTCCAACAACATTTCCACCTCTTTATTAGTAAGACTTTTAGAATCTCTGCAAAAATGAGTAATTAACATTAAAAATCAACTATCATAATAATTGGTAACAAAATCAAAAATTACTTTTCAGAATAATCTACATCTGTTTGAAAGATTATATTTTTGTCTATTTTAATTCTTTTATCGACATGTCTTGTTGTGTTTAAGTTGTCAGTGGACCTTAAAAAAATAATTAAATAGGTAGTTAAATATCAATAATATCTTAACCATATATTTTAAAATGTTAAGTTACCTTCCATACATTTTACAACTTTTAAGCTTAGAAAAAAGTTTTTAATTTTTGTTTAATGATTGGGAAATAATAGCAATAAAAACAATATATAAACTAGTGGAAGATGATTAATTACATTTTCACAGTACCTACCATCAAAAATCAATTGAAAAACAAATCAGTTAACMCAGAAACAGGTTAATTAGTCTTGTTTACTTTTTMTATGTTAAATTAGTTTTAAACCTACAATTCAAGAAAGATATAAAACAAATMTGATTTTAAAAAACAACTAAAAGTACAAAAAATTTAAAATGCTTAAAACAAACAAAACTATGCAGAATAAGATTTTAAATTTTGAAGCATTGTAGCACAAGATAATTCATGTATAACTTCTTTGCTATTTGTAAATATATTCTATAATAACTAACAAATAATATAGAATCTGTGCCCTGTTTAAAACTTCAGTAAAATTCTAAATTATCAATATAATTACCTGATATTGTTTTCATCTGAGTTACAAGAGTCATCACTTATCATTTCAATATCATATTTAATTATTTTGTTGGGTGGCTGATATGTAAGTTYATCATCATAGTTAACATCATCCCTAGAATTATGGTAAACATTTTTTATAAATTAATTAATAAAAGTTACCAATATTTATTTGTGTTGGTAATTTAAAACCAAAAATTAATTTCTATAAAATATATTATGTGTTTACTACAAAAATTATTAAAGTTATAGTTTTTAAATATAATGATTTTGGTAATTGGTAATATTTAATTTAAAATATAAATATAAATTCAATTACACTATAATATTTTTGATGACATTTTGATTTTTTGCAACCTTTTTTTCAATGTGCTCAATTTTCCRAGTTAGTTTTTGGATCACCTCAGTCAAAGATTGTTTAGATGTTCTACAAATTAATCAAAATCAAAATTGCAAAACAGATTAATATAAATTAATGTAAATAAGACTTACCTTTTAGTTATAGCATTTAACTGACTATCCATGCAAAGGGACTCTTTTGTAGATGTAGATGTTACACAATTATATGTATCAATATGATCCTATATTTTTAAAATTAAAATGAATAACTAATGTTAATCAATAAAAAATAAATATTTTTTAAATTCTCGCATACAATAAAAGAAGGAGTGTAGGCAAATTATTATTTTTATAAAATGTTATTTAAGTTAGTGATGATAATCAGTAATGTATTGGTAAAGAATGTCTATTGTAAATCTCAAAATGTCTGTATAAGCATCTTCTGAGTTGGGCCCTATCACTTTTTAACATAGCCTATCTTCTGTCCATAGGTCTAATACATCTAATCTCTGTACCAAATTTCATGGCAATCAGTTTAGACGATTATGAATATATAAAGGACAAACAGACAGAAATCCATAATATATATAAGTTAATTAATTAGTTATGAAATCTATATAATACATGTAATTCAGAGCAAGATTTAAAATTATAAGTAATTACCATCATTGTTCTTTAAAAAT